GACTTATATAAAAACCAAACATATCGTCAGGTTGGCCACGAGAAGAAAAACAATTTAATAGGTCACTCGTCTTGTCTCCAATATATAGGAAAGCCGGAAAATAGATCCCGTGAACCGTTCAGTGTATAATTTCATAATTCATATCTAATCAATCCTCAGCCGTGTCTGCATAATAATCTACCCGCGGGTGGAATGTCACTTGTGCATAGGAAAAGTTATGAACCAAAATATGAACTACACGAGATTTTGGCTCTAGTTTAGGTCCACACCCTAAACGGGATATTGGTCCTTGACTTCAGAGACACCCCCTGCTGGGGAACTACAAATTAGGCTGCCAGGCCTAAGAAGAGGAAGTTGAAGACGTCTCCCATTCTTACATCAGTACCACCTGGGAAGACCCCTGCCTTTCACGCTGAAACTTGGATCTGCTAACCCAGGACTTTGGCAAGTACCTTAACCCTTTCACCTCTCTCTGATATCGCTTTGCTGTGCTGTTAGTCTCTGTATATTTTATATATAATCTTAGTTACATATTTTTCTGTAAATATTTTTATTGCACCCGTTTGACCTTTTAGTAATAAATCTTTCCTTCTGAAAGTGTTGAACTGTTTCTATAGCGCTTTATTGCAATTTACAAATTCCTGCCTGTAAAGAGAATGCTACTGTGTTTGTTTAACCCTCTGTATAACCGTGTTACACAGACGATTACCTCAACCATTATAGTGGTATAACTGATATCACAGAGTTTCCTCCTCTCTGTACAAAAAGGAGGTGGTGGCAGTGTGAAGGGTTAATTGCATAATTAACCTGACCCAGTAACAATCGCTCAGGCTGCCGGTACATCGATTGTGGTCCAATTAGCTGGAAAATCGTTGTGCAGGGTGCAGCATTGTTACGCACGTGACATCGCGGTTTTAGATCGGCTAGTCCTTCGGTCACGAGTTTGGTGAGAAGGGCTGGGGTCTGACGCCGCGATCGTGACATCCCTCACCCACCAGCAACGCGGGACAATGCAACCCACCTCACAGATGGAAAGAGAACCTCGCCAAACGGTGACACAGACAGAGGTTCGAATATTCTGATACTGATGTATCCATGGAGAGAAGAAATGTCCATGTGTTACAATGTATCACTCATGATGTCCTCACACCATCCACACACCTGACACTGATCTCTATGGGGTGTTGGGTGGTCATGGTAATGGTGGTGGTGGAGGAGTGAAGGGTTGGTGCTCATCCACAGACCTGACACCAATCTCTGATCTCTATGGGTGTGGGGGGTGTCGGTAGTCATCCACAGACCTGACACCAATCTCTGATCTCTATGGGTGTGGAGGAGGGGGGGTTGGGGGGGGGGGGTCGGTGCTCACCCACAGACCTGACACCAATCTCTGATCTCTATGGGTGTGTGGAGGGGGGGGTCGGTGATCACCCACAGACCTGACACCAATCTCTGATCTCTATGGGTGTGGAGGAGGGGGGGTTGGGGGGGGGGGGGGTATCGGTGATCATCCACAGACCTGACACCAAACTCTGATTTCTATGGGTGTGGGGGGTGTCGGTAGCTCATCCACAGACCTGACACCAATCTCTGATCTCTATGGGTGTGGGGGGTGTCGGTGCTCATCCACAGACCTGACACCAATCTCTGATCTCTATGGGTGTGGGGGTATCAGTAGCTCATCCACACCAATCTCTGATCTCTATGGGTGTGGGGGGTGTCGGTAGTCATCCACAGACCAATCTCTGATCTCTATGGGTGTGGGGGGTTGGGGGTCGGTGCTCATCCACAGACCTGACACCAATCTCTGATCTCTATGGGTGTGGGGGGGTGCTCATCCAGAGACCTGACACCAATCTCTGATCTCTATGGGTGTGGGGGTGTCGGTGCTCATCCACAGACCTGACACCAATCTCTGATCTCTAACACCCCCCCCACACCCATAGAGATCATGTCAGGTCTGTGGATGAGCATTGGTGTCACGCGCTTCCCTGGCGACCAGAAGCACCACAGACAGTTTCACTTCCTCCACCACTGATCACGACGAGAAACTGCAGAGAAACTGGAGGAGAGACAGTATCGGGGTGCAGGGGAGGGAATACTGGGGAGACAACCTTTGTGGGGACACAGGACAGGATGTAAAAAGATATATGGGGTACAGTGAGGTGTATTGGGGTGAACCTAAATACAGAATATTAGGGTACCGTGGGGGACAGTCACCTGGGGAGATGCAGGACAGCGGGGGTAGAATACAACATACTGCAGCCCAATGAGAGTGTGTTGTATAGTTGGGGTATAGTGACTGGGGTACAGAGGTGTAGGGGTACAGCGAGGTACCGGAGGTGTGGGGGCACTACAGGGTACAGGTGACTGGGGTACAGAGGTGTACTGGGGGTACAGCGAGGTACCGGAGGTGTACTGGGGGCACAGAGGGGTACAGCGAGGTACCGGAGGTGTACAGGGGCACAGAGGGGTTACCGGAGGTGTATTGGGAGTACAGAGGGGTACAGCGAGGTACCGGAGATGTACTGGAGGCACAGAGGGATATAGTGAGGTACGGAGATGTACTGGGGCACAGAGGGGTATAGTGAGGTACCGGAGGTGTACTGGGGGTACAGAGGGGTATAGTGAGGTACCGGAGGTGTACTGGGGGCACAGAGGGGTATAGTGAGGTACCGGATGTGTACTGGGGGTACAGAGGGGTATAGTGAGGTACCGGAGGTGTACTGGGGGCACAGAGGGGTATAGCGAGGTATAGCGATGGATTGGTATACGGGGGGGGGGGGGGGGGTGTTAGTGCACTCTGACGCTCAGAGGGGTATATTGAGGTAAGTGGAAGGGTATTAGGGTACAGAGGCTGTATTGGGGTACAGTTAGACGTACTGGTACACATGGGGGGTGGAGTTGTGCAGCATTGTGATGGGGTACAAAGGGCTATATCGGGGGGGGGGGTGTACAGTACATGAAAGGGTATGGAGGTACAGTAGGATTTAGTGAGTATATTGGGGTAAAACTGGTATACTTTGGGCTACAGTGGGGGGGAGGGGTGTACATTGGGGGCACATAAGGAGGTGACTATCATCCACAAGGAAGCAAGGAAAGTATATATGGGGGTACAGTGGGGGGAGGGGTTGTAAAATGGGGTACAGTGGGGAGCAGGGTATATATTGGGGTTAAGTGGGGGGTATACTTTTGGATGCAGTGAGGGGGGAGTATACACTGGGGTACAGTGTTGGGAGAACAGTTTATATTGGGGTACAGGAGGAGGGGTATATATTGGGGTACACAGGGATGTTCAGTTCATATCGTCCGATGCCCGGGACATGCAGGTTGTTTTATACCTTTAGCCCTCCTGTGGGCATGCAGCAGGGCTCACCTATCAGCTGGAAGCATCCGGGCGGCAGCGCTGCCACACAGCCCACTATAGTGCCAGCCTCCGCCCCCCCGCCATGTCTCCCGGGCTCAACCTCCGCCCCCCCCGCCATGTCTCCGGCTCAACCTCCGCCCCCCCGCCATGTCTCCCGGGCTCAACCTCCGCCCCCCCCGCCATGTCTCCCGGGCTCAACCTCCCCCCCCCCGCCATGTCTCCCGGGCTCAACCTCCGCCCCCCCCGCCATGTCTCCCGGGCTCAACCTCCGCCCCCCCCCCGCCATGTCTCCCGGGCTCAACCTCCGCCCCCCCCGCCATGTCTCCCGGGCTCGGCCTCCGCCCCCCCCCCGCCATGTCTCCCGGGCTCAACCTCCGCCCCCCCCCCCGCCATGTCTCCCGGGCTCGGCCTCCGCCCCCCCCCCGCCATGTCTCCCGGGCTCAACCTCCGACCCCCCCCCCGCCATGTCTCCCGGGCTCAACCTCCGCCCCCCCGCCATGTCTCCCGGGCTCAACCTCCGCCCCCCCCCCCGCCATGTCTCCCGGGCTCAACCTCCGCCCCCCCCCCCCCCGCCATGTCTCCCGGGCTCAACCTCCCCCCCCCCGCCATGTCTCCCGGGCTCAACCTCCGCCCCCCCCCCGCCATGTCTCCCGGGCTTTGCTCCGCCCCCCTGCATGTCTCCCGGGCTCAACCTCCGCCCCCCCCCATGTCTCCCGGGCTCAACCTCCGCCCCCCCCGCCATGTCTCCCGGGCTCAACCTCCGCCCCCCCGCCATGTTCCCGGCTTTCTGGGCCCCCGCCATGTCTCCCGGGCTCGAACCTGAGAATGTACAGCATGTCTGCTCAACCTCCGCCCCCCAGCCATGTCATCCAGTGTAGTGCAGGGGAGACCCCGGATATCTCAAAGAAGAGAACCTGTGACCAAAAAAATCATCACATAGGGGACTTTTTGTCCCGTGTCAGTGGTCTCCCAAACTGCGGCCCTTTGCTTGCCCATTATCGGGCCCTTGGGGCCACTGCTCTTCCCCGGACACTATTCTCACTGACACCAACAATGGGGCCTCAAAGTGGGTCATGTGACATATTCTGGGCCCCGTGAGGGGAGAGGACCAATTCCCGGCCATCGATGATGGGGTACACAGTGTGGGCACAGCATTACGGTGTAGTGCAGGGGAGACCCGGATTTTGGAACAGAACCTGTGGGGGAGGGGTATACATAGGGGGTACCGTGTCAGTGGGGGAGGGCCCTTTGCTTGCCCTTGGGGTACAGCGGGGGGAGGGGTATACACTATTTTGGTACAATGGGGGGGAGGGGCATATACATATTTGGGAACAGTGAGGGGAGGGTATATATGGCGGTTCAGTGGGGGTATACAATGGGGTACAGCGGGGGGAGGGGTATACATTGGGGTACAGCGGGGGGAGGGGTATACATTGGGGTACAGCGGGGGGGAGGGGTATACATTGGGGTACAGCGGGGGGAGGGGTATACATTGGGGTACAGCGGGGGGAGGGGTATACATTGGGGTACAGCGGTATACATTGGGGTACAGTGGGGGGAGGGGTATACATTGGGGTACAGCGGGGGGAGGGGTATACATTGGGGGAGGGGTATATATATTGGGGTGACTCACCCTTGTTGTCCATCATCCACATGAAGAGGAAGCAGGGCAGGAAGCCGATGGGCCCCCACAGGACGAGGAGGGCGATGTCCAGGCCGGAGAAGCCATAGACGGCCCGGGCCGAGGCCTGGATGGGCCCCCAGCTGTTCCACACCAGTCCCTGCAGGAACCCAAGAGCCGAAAACAGGACGAGGACCAACCAGCGCCGCCCGAACACCCGGGGTGACCTGGCCAGGAGAGGCCGCCGCTCCTCCATTCCCCTCCCGGCTTTCCTCCGTCCGGGACAGTCCGCCAATCTGCCGGGACACCGACCGGAAGTCACTAGCTCAAAACATCCGCCTTCCTCCTCCGCCCCCTGAGTTACGTCACCCCCCACCTGACAGTCGTGACCACAGCGGGAGCCGCCCACTAGGAAGTATCGTCCAATCCACCACACAGCCCCGCCCCGTTCAAAAGATTGCCCCGCCCTCCGTCGACCATAGTTTTTAGCCACATGGTCTCCGCCAAAATGGCGGCCCCCATGAAGTGGAGACATAAATGACTTTCTGGTGTTCTTTCAGCTCAGAGGCATGAGGGATTCCTGGGAGAAGCATGCTGTGTGTTGGGGATGGATCATGCAACAGACACAGGTACACTTCCCTCCATACAGGGCTGAGAGACACTACAGATCCCAGCAGCAGAGACAGAGCTGAACCACATGGGGCTTTGTAATCGTTACTGGTGTCCCCCTCTGGAAGTCTCTGTACAGCAGAGCTTAGACTGGGGGAGGAGGAAACAGCACAAGGAGCCAAACAGTTGTGTTGCAGTAAAGAAGGGTGCTGATAGGAGGAGAGAGCAGAGAGATGAGCTCAATCAGTCTGCGCTTTCTCCTCCTGCCCAGTCACAAGCTGGGGGCGGAGCCATGACAGCCAGGGCTCAGAGGAAGTGGGCCGGATGCCATCATTCAGCCCTAAAGACTGAGGGCATCTAGTGATGGGAAAGAAGTACTGCGAGGTACAGCTCCAAATGGAAGGGGAGTGTTGCAAAAAATGAACCAACCAATTGCCAACCACCAACGGGATATTTACTGCTGGAATCCGGCTTTCCCAGGTACTGGTATGTCTGCAGTGCCTATGCACACTGGGGCGCGTAGTGCCATGATCCTGTGACGAGACACAGCGGACGACAGTGCTCAATACTGCAGCTGGGGTATCATGTGATCGCTGTGACCAATCACAGATGAGATGTAAACAAAACTGTCAGAAATAACTTTTATTCACATCAGCTTGCTTACTATTGTGAGGCTGTTATTGGCTACAGCTATCACATGGAGTTTGGGCCAATCACAACACCCTGTACCATGTGATAGCGGTGGGCTAATCACAGCCTCACCATAGTAAACAACGCGTCACAAATTATAGCCATTCATGCCGGTTCAAATGATTGATGTTACAAGGAGTGCAGTGCAACTGTGGTGACCCTGAACTACTCTGATGACAGGATGAAAAAACAAATTGTAAAATAAAGAATCGAACGGAAATGATTATTATTATTGTTATATAAGATGATGGCGCCGTGCTGCTCCGGGGACCGTCTGGAAAAAAATTGTATTTCAATTCTTTATTTTCAAAAAAAGTAACAAAAAAATTACAACTTCAAAAAACTCGCCACGCCTCTTACTAAATACCTCCGGTTGTCTACTTTCCAAAAAAAAAAAACATTTGGGGGGGGAATTTGGGGGGATTTGTACCGTCCTGACATTTGGGGGGATTTGTACCGTCCCGTCCTGACATTTGGGACAGGGATTTGTACCGTACTGTACCCTGACATTTGGGGGGGATTTGTACCGTATTGACATTTGGGGGGGGGATTTGTACCGTATTGACATTTGGGGGGATTTGGGGGGGATTTGTACCGTCCTGACATTTGGGGGGGATTAGTACCGTCCTGACATTTGGAGGGATTGTGGGAGGAATTGTACTGTCCTGGCATTTGGGGGGGAGGGATTTGTTCTGTCCTGGAATTTTAGGGCCCCAAAGAAATGAGATCGCTGTCAGTACATCAGGATTGATCAACTTTCAGATATATATTCCACAGTTTGTAGATTCTATCACTTTCACACAAACCAATTAATTTACACTGATTGGATTTTTTTTGTTTGTTTTTTTTTTACCACATAAATGTCGCAGAATACATTTTGGCCCTAAATTTATGAGGAAAGATTATTTGTTTGCAAAATTTTATAAACAGAGCCTAAGAATAACATCTTTTTATTTAAAAAAAAAAAGTGGTCTTTTTTTTCATTTATATAATAAAAAATCAAAACCCCACCGGTGATCAAATACTATCAAAAGAAATTGCCCTTTGTGTGAAAAAGTGATAGAAATTTTGTTTGGATAAAGCGTTGCAAGACCGCTCAATTGCCAGTTAAGGTAGCGCAGTGCTGAATAGGGGGGAAAAAAATGGCCTGGTCATGAAGGAGTTAAAAATCTTCTCAGTGGTTAGTCTTTTGACGGATTATTTGGAGTTTGGTAAAGGACCACCAATGTCTCTAACTGCACCCCATAACTCCCCCTGTACTCTAGAACAGGGGTATCCAAACTGTGGCCCTCCAGGTGTTGATGAACTGCAAGTCCCATGAGGCCTTGCAAGACTCTGACAGCCACAGGCAAAGCTCCCAGAGGCAGAGGCATGATGGGACTTGTAGTACTTCAACTCCGGGAGGGCCATAGTTTTGGAGACCCCTGATCTAGAGTATCCTGAGTCATGTATTCATGCCACGTGAGTGGCTGGGTGCGTCGTGTGATTCCCAGTGTACCCCAGCACATGCTGTATCACGGGTGACACCCACACCCAGGGGCGGACTGACAACTCATGGGGCCCCCGGGCAATAGGGGATCATGGGGCCCCTGTGTCCTCGCCCAAACCCAAAAAAGCCTATGAAAAAGCCAATGAAAGTTACCAGGGGCATCTCATGGGGCCCCCTACTGAGCCCAGACCCTCGGGCGGTGCCCGAGTGTTCAAATGGTCAGTCCGCCCTTGCACACACACCCTCTCATTTCTTGTCCTGGAGTCACCAAGACAGGAAGTGAAGGGGAATCTCATCTATCAGGAGACAGCCAGCAATAAAAACCTGACCAAATTCTGAGCCTTATGCAGGCCATAGACGGGTTGTAAATCGCACCGTTAGTGGGTTAATTGGTTGGCCGTTTTTTTTGGGTCTTGGCACATTTTTTTTTTTATTGGTCAAGTTGGAAAATTTGCGGCCGATTTTGCCGATCGGCTGATTTTCCCGGCAATTATGGGCCAATTGTTTTACCTATAAATAATCTGCGCATGAGCCGTGATCTGCAAGAAGAAGAAAAAGAAGAATTCCAGTCCGCTATTATATTTTATATGAAAAGTCTTGCGGTTGCAACAATGTATCCATTTGTATCCAAATAAAACCGTCTGTATCCGAAATGGATACAAATGGATACATTGTTGCAACCGCAATACTTTTTCATGTCAAATATAATAGCGGAGCTCTCTGCAGGGACAGAAGTATTTAAATGCCGGCCGTAGACGGGACGAAAATCGGTTTTGATTTTTTTTACCGTTGGTGGTAACATCGGCCGATCGAATTACCAATTTTTTTAATAAAAAAACGGCCGGTTTTCGACGCAACTATGGCCTGCATTACCCAAAAAAAAAAAGGTATTCCTGTATCTGGATACAGAAGTTACAATTATCCGTTTGTAGATGTGAGACAAAAAGTTGCTAATGAAAGTGAAACATTTCCCGCAGGAAGTGAGCGCGGGAATAGAGAGCCGCGTGCAGCTGTTGGCGCGCCCTCCGCATTGTCGCTCTCGGAGTTCCGCTGTCACCGTATCGCACGTTCCGGTGATTTATTGAGCGGTAGTGATTGACGATGTGTTTAGTCAAATGGTGGAGAAATAAAATCCCAGCAAACCGTATTCCCCGAACGCGGCTCCGCAGTTCATTAGCAGAAGCCGTAGAGCCGGCGCCGGAGAGCGCTGTCACATCGGAATAATTTACTGGCCAATTTATAATAAGCAGATGTCTGGTAACGGCGCCGAAACACCTTGTGAGTTATTACCCGGAACCGACGACGCGGCGGAGAACCAGCCGCGAGCCTTGCAGAGCACCAGGTACCCGGGGGCTACCTGAAGGCAGGGGGCTCGTACTAGAGCTGGAATGGGTGGCAGTTCCCTATTTATTGGTGTTCCTCCTGCTGCGGGGGAAAAGTGGTGGCCCGTTCATTCACACTGAAGTACAGCTACCTGCACCAGGTGTGACACCAGTAGCGTGATGGGCGGAGCATCGTGTCAAGAGGCGGAGCAGGGCGAGAACAGGACTCCAGCACATCTATAGATGCTCATTGTACTGCCCTCAAAAACTGACAGTTGATCGCTCGCTAAAACGGTGCATTCAGGCAGTGACAGTACAAATCCCCCCAAATGTCAGGACGGTACAAATCCCCAAATGTACCCCCCAAATGTCAGGACGGTACAAATCCCCCCCAAATGTCAGGACGGTACAAATCCCCCCAAATGTCAGGACGGTACAAATCCCCCCCAAATGTCAGGACGGTACAAATCCCCCCCAAATGTCAGGACGGTACAAATCCCCCCCAAATGTCAGGACGGTACAAATCCCCCCCAAATGTCAGGACGGTACAAATCCCCCCCCCCAAATGTCAGGACGGTACAAATCCCCCCAAATGTCAGGACGGTACATATCCCCCCAAATGTCAGGACGGTACATATCCCCCCAAATGTCAGGACGGTACAAATCCCCCAAATGTCAGGACGGTAGAAATCCCCCCAAATGTCAGGACGGTAGAAATCCCCCCCAAATGTCAGGACGGTACAAATCCCCCAAATGTCAGGACGGTACAAATCCCCCCAAATGTCAGGACGGTACAAATCCCCCCAAATGTCAGGACGGTACAAATCCCCCCAAATGTCAGGACGGTACAAATCCCCCCAAATGTCAGGACGGTACAAATCCCCCCCAAATGTCAGGACGGTAGAAATCCCCCCCAAATGTCAGGACGGTAGAAATCCCCCAAATGTCAGGACGGTAGAAATCCCCCCAAATGTCAGGACGGTAGAAATCCCCCCAAATGTCAGGACGGTACAAATCCCCCCAAATGTCAGGGCGATACAAATCCCCCCAAATGTCAGGATGGTACAAATTTGTTCTAGGCAGTGTGATGGAGCCCCTAAGCTGGACACACATGTCTAGATCACACCTGGATACATTGTACAGATCGATCTACAGACCACACCCCTATACATTGTACAGATCAATCTAGAAATCACACCTGGATACATTGTACAGATCAATCTACAGACAACACCTGGATGCATTGCACAGATCGATCTAAAGATCACAGCCGGATACATTATTTCTATTGATGGAAGTATTACACTGATCTTGTGCTCATGATGTGAGATGTGAAGGTCGGAGTTCCCTTTTCTCACTTTCATTTCCTTTTCTGAGATTTCCAGTTCGCAGTATTTTAACCCTTCGCTCTGCCATTTCCTGTCCTCCCCGGTCTGACCGTCCCCGCCGCCGTGCCGATCCCCCGTGGACTGACGCCGACCGTCCCCGCCGACCGCCGACCCCCGCCGTGGATCCCGGACTGACGCCGACCGTCCCCGCCGTGGATCCCGGACTGACGCCGACCGTCCCCGCCGTGGATCCCGGACTGACGCCGACCGTCCGACCCCGCCGTGGATCCCGGACTGACGCCGACCGTCCCCGCCGTGGATCCCGGACTGACGCCGACCGTCCCCGCCGTGGATCCCGGACTGACGCCGACCGTCCTCGCCGATCCCGTCCCCGCCGTGGATCCCGGACTGACGCCGACCGTCCCCGCCGTGGATCCCGGACTGACGCCGACCGTCCCCGCCGTGGATCCCGGACTGACGCCGACCGTCCCCCGCCGTGGATCCCGGACTGACCGCCCGCCGTGGATCCCGGACTGACCGTCCCCGCCGTGGATCCCGGACTGACGCCGACCGTCCCCGCCGTGGATCCCGGACTGACGACTGACCGACCCCACCTTGCCACAGGTGTATTGGCTCCTTCCCTTCCAGTCTTGCACAGGTGTACAGGCTCCTCCCCTCCAGTCTTGCACAGGTGTACAGGCTCCTCCCCTCCAGTCTTGCACAGGTGTACAGGCTCCTCCCCTTCCAGTCTTGCACAGGTGTACAGGCTCCTCCCCTTCCAGTCTTGCACAGGTGTACAGGCTCCTCCCCTTCCAGTCTTGCACAGGTGTACAGGCTCCTCCCCTTCCAGTCTTGCACAGGTGTACAGGCTCCTCCCCTTCCAGTCTTGCACAGGTGTACAGGCTCCTCCCCTTCCAGTCTTGCACAGGTGTACAGGCTCCTCCCCTTCCAGTCTTGCACAGGTGTACAGGCTCCTCCCCCTCCAGTCTTGCACAGGTGTACCGGCTCCTCCCCCCCTCCAGTCTTGCACAGGGTGTACCGGCTCCTCCCCTTCAGTCTTGCACAGGTGTCCTCCCCCCGGCTCCTCCCCTTCAGTCTTGCACAGGTGTACCGGCTCCTCCCCTTCAGTCTGCACAGGTGTACCGGCTCCTCCCCTTCAGTCTTGCACAGGTGTACGGCTCCTCCCCTTCAGTCTTGCACAGGTGTACCTGCTCCTCCCCTGGACTGACATGGCTTCCTCTGATGTCACTGCACACTTGGAGCTTCTCACAATGTGCATTAGAAGCTGCAGCCAGTCAAAAAGAGCTCCACCTCATTTCCTGGCTGGAGGACATCCAGCATCACCTAGTCCCTCCTTCCCCAGCCTGACTGTCTTTGGCCCCACCCCTTTCATTCATTGGATTTCAGTTCTTTCAGTCATGAAGGCTCATATGTGGGCGTTACCTATGTAAATACAGCCTGCCTAGGGAACGCCCGGACTGACACCCACCAATCGAGTTATTTTATTGATTGAACAACTCCTCCCACTGCTTGCAGCAGGACTGAGGACTCTTGAGGGCGTTACCCAAGACGGTCCAAATACAGATTGCCTAGGAACACCCACTCCTCCAGACTGACATCCGCCTATCAAGACAATTTCATATTTGCATAGCTCCTCCCAAGAGCCCCTGGGACCTGGGGGGGACTTCCGCTTCTGATAACCAGGCGGTCAGAGTGGGAGCCGGTGTCGGTCAAAATCAGGTATCCGCTCCTTAAAAGTGTCGATTCCTTACCAGGAGTGGAGGAGTCTTTGCAAAGAGTGTTGAATCCTGTGCAGTGCCCAGCTGTTTGATCTAGTCTTGTCCTGCCAGGCAGTCCACTCATCCACTAGATGGCGCTCCTCTTCCAGGTCGAATGACAGCCAGCATCATTCAACTCTTATCCAGTGAGCCTGACTGTCATAGACCCGCCCCCTTGGAGGTGTGTCATCACGCTGTCCAGGGCTCACCATACTGCTGTTTTATGCGAGAGCCATCAAATCAGGAGTAAGGACGGCCCACTAACAAGGTCACATGACCGGACAGAAGACCTCTGGATCAAAAGGATGATTACTTTTATTCATTGAAAACTGGTGACAGGAAAATCTCCCCAATGGGGTCACTGGGCCAATGTTGGACGAATCCTGGGTACGAATGGCGCCAATCTAAAGGTGCACCTCCCATAGGGTGGGGTTCTCTTTACGATCTCAGTCACACCATTAGTTGTGTCCAAACGCACACAATTTTTTCTTTTTGCTCATCCGCCACCAGCGCATTTCAGGCAGCCCTTTCATTTAGAAAATGGAGCAAACGTGATTTTTAAAGCTGCGCCATATCTGCGCTTACCTGCAGAAGATAGCATGTTTCCGTACGGCGTGGGAAATGCCGCGATTTCATGCTGTTGGTGTAAATGAAACCCTTAGGTGCATTGCGTTTTGCGTTCTGTTTCAGGGTGTCATTAATTTATTATTCAGATCAGATCGCATGAACGCGTTGCGGGAAACGCACAGGATTCGCGGCGTTTCCCACATCACATTGGTGTGAAGCAATGCTTGGAGTCTCAGGCTGCGTTCTCGCCTGCGCCTTTCCTAAACGTGCAACAAAACGCTATGCGTTTCTCAGTGCGGTTCGGAAACAGGTCGCGCTCGCAGCGCCATAATTGACAACCAAAGCGCCTGTGGCAGCTGTGCGCTTTGCTGCGTGCCGAAACACGCACTGAAAACCACCCGACGTTCTGTGACAGAAAAGGTCGCGGGGTGTTTGTCGCACGCAGCGCGGCTCATTGAAGTGAATGGCATTTTCTTAATCACCGCATATTTGGGAGCGTGGACTTTCTTTTTTGTCTCTTTTTAATTGATTTCTGATTTTTGCGCTGTATTGGTTATTATATTGAACGGCGTGACATGCCTTAACGTGTGAAAAATATATAACAAAAAAAATGCGCGTTCCCGTTACGCTCAGGTGTGAATGGAGTCTCGGTAACGTTCGCTGCGATTTCCAGGAGCGCTGTTCCCGGGGAGTGCGTTTTATGGACCCCCCGCCTGTGTCAGTCTTTAGTTAATCAGTTAATACCTGTGCAAGACTGAAGGGGAGGAGCCTGGATACCTGTGCAAGACTGAAGGGGAGGAGCCGGTACACCTGTGCAAGACTGAAGGGGAGGAGCCGGGGCACCTGTGCAAGACTAAAGGGGAGGAACCGGAGCACCTGTGCAAGACTGAAGGGGAGGAACGGAGCACCTGTGCAAGATTGAAGGGGAGGAGCTGGTACACCTGTGCAAGATTGAAGGGGAGGAGCCGATACACTAGTGCAAGACTGAAGGGGAGGAGCCGATACACCAGTGCAAGACTGAAGGGGAGGAGTCGGGATACCTGTGCAAGACTGAAGGGGAGGAGCCGATACACCAGTGCAAGACTGAAGGGGAGGAGCTGGGATACCTGTGCAAGACTGAAGGGGAGGAGCTGATACACCAGTGCAAGACTGAAGGGGGAGGAGTCAGTGCACCTGTGCAAGAGTGAAGGGGAGGAGTTGGTACACCAAGGGGCAGACTGACAACTCATGGGGCCCCCGGGCAATAGGGGATCATGGGGCCCCTGTGTCCTTGCCCAAACTAAAAAAAAGCCTATGAAAAAGGTTCCAGGGGGCATCTCATGGGGCCCCCTACTGACTCCGGGCCCTCGGGCAGTGCCTGAGTTTCCAAATGGTCAGTCCGCCCCTGGTTACACCTGTGCAAGACTGAAGGGGAGGAGCCGTTACGCCTGTGCAAGACAGAAGGGGAGGAGCCGTTACGCCTGTGCAAGACAGAAGGGGAGGAGCCAGTACGCCTGTGCAAGACTGAAGGGGAGGAGCCGGAACGCCTGTGCAAGACTGAAGTGGAGGAGCCGGAACGCCTGTGCAAGACTGAAGGGGAGGAGCCAGTACGCCTGTGCAAGACTGAAGGGGAGGAGCCAATACACCTGTGCAAGACTGAAGGGGAGGACTTTCTTTTTGTCACTTTTTAATTTTGATTTCTGATTTTTGCGCTGTATTGTGTATTATATTGAGCGGCTTAACGTGTGAAAATTTTTTTTTTTAAAAAAAATCACGCGTTCCCGTTACGCTCAGGTGTGAATGGAGTCTCGGTAACGTTCGCTGCGATTTCCAGGCGCGCCATTCCCGGGGAGTGCGTTTTATGGACCCGCCTGTGTCAGTTAATCAGCGGATGCTTTAGTGCGCGTCTCCATCGAACGTTGCGCCGTCCTCGTTACGGCGGCAGGCAGACGGTAAAAGGATTTATCGGTTATTTACTGTGGAGAGCCGCAATCCAAGACGCGTTACGGTTTAAGCGGCCGTGCCAGTATATCAGCGCCTGTTACACCATAAATGGCGTCGTTAAGCGCCGACTCGGCGGGGAGCGATAAAGTTTGGGGTGTTTTTGTTTTCTCTTGAAGCCATCCCGGTCTGTGATTTCCCTGCTGGGAGATCGCAGTAAAGAATCGTTTATTACATCGAGCCAATCAGAGTGACATCTACGGCGAGACGGCTCGGCGGACACCGATGTAATGGAGAGCGCAGACGGCGGAACGGCTGATGGAAGCGGATCGAGAGGGAGGCTGATTAATGGGGGCATCCTTGTCATCCTGGCTGGCGGGAGACCTCAGGAGGGGGGGATGGGTTTTGCTTTATATCGATCGGCCGCGTGTCACCTCTAATTAGGAAAGTCGGCCAACGTGAGACCGACTCCATCCACACCGCCTGCCAGGGGGACGGGAACATACAGCGCACCGTCTGTATGAGTATATCCCTGACATTACACCACAACAGGATCAATGATCAGGAAAGCTCCACCTTTTATCAGTGACCCTGCCTAGGCTGGGATGATGTCATCAGTCTGCTGCAGGCTGGACGAGGAATTTCCTCAGTCTTCCTTCCCCCAGTGATCAGACTGAGGAAATGCTCCTCCTCCTTCTACAAAGTTACAATGTACAGTCTGATCACTGGGGGAGGGGAGACTGAGGAAATGCTTCCTCCTCCTTCTACAAAGTTACAATGTACAGTCTGATCACTGGGGGAGGGGAGACTGAGGAAATGCTTCCTCCTCCTTCTACAAAGTTACAATGTACAGTCTCCCCTCCCCCAGTGATCAGACTGTACATTGTAACTTTGTAGAAGGAGGAGGAGGAATTTCCTCAGTCTCCCATCCCCCAGTGATCAGACTGTACATTGTAACTTTGTAGAAGGAAGAGGAGGCATTTTCTCAGTGTCCCCTACCCCAGGAATCAGACTGTACATTGTAACTTTGTAGAAGGAGGAGGAGGAATTTCCTCAGTCTCCCATCCCACAGTGATCAGACTGTACATTGTAACTTTGTTGGAGGAGGTGGAGGCGTTTCCTCAGTCTCCCCCCCCCCAGTGATCAGGCTGCACATTGTAACTTTGCAGCAAATCACAAGGTGAGAGGCCACAGCAGGGTCTGATCTGTGTCAGACCTTTGTGAACACAGCTATTTTCAATGCATACCTTAAATTAGGCTTAGTGACATCATCACTGGGTCTCTGTGCTTCTACAATGCAGGCAGATCATGGCTGGAGGGAGGGCCAGCAGGGGACTATACAGTTATGCAAATATTAAAATGCCTTGATGGGTGGGTGACAGTCTGGAAGAGTGGGCTTTTCTTGGCAGGCCTTGGTAATGCGCACACGTGATACTGATCCTCCATGATTGAAAGAACGGACACCCAATGAATGAAAGGGGAGGGGCCAGGGACAGTCAGGCTGGGAGGAAAGTGCTAGATAATGCTGGATGTCCTCCAGCCAGGAAAGGGGGTGGAGCTGTGTCTGACTGGCTGCAGCTTCTAATGCACATTGTGAGAAGCTCCCAGTGTGCAGTGATATCAGAGGAAGCCATTCAGTCCAGGGGAGGAGCCGGTACACCTGTGCAAGACTGGAGGGGAGGAGCCGGTACACCTGTACAAGACTGGAGGGGAGGAGCCGGTACACCTGTACAAGACTGAAGGGGAGGAGCCGGTACACCTGTGCGAGACTGAAGGGAGGAGCCGGTACACCTGTGCAAGACTGAAGGGGAGGAGCCGAGAGACTAGCTTTGTTGCGGGTAAAAGCTGGGGAGGGGGCATTAGAGTGTCAGCTCCTCTGTACAGAGACTGATGTGACTGTGGGAGGGGGGACATTAGAGTGTAAGCTCCTCTGGTACAGAGACTGATGTGACTGTGAGGGAGGGGACATTAGAGTGTAAGCTCCTCTGGTACAGAGACTGATGTGACTGTGGGGGAGGGGACATTAGAGTGTCAGCTCCTCTGGTACAGAGACTGATTTGACTGTGGGGGAGGGGGACATTAGAGTGTAAGCTCCTCTGGTACAGAGACTGATTTGACTGTGGGGGAGGGGACATTAGAGCGTAAGCTCCTCTGGTACAGAGACTGATTTGACTGTGGGGGAGGGGACATTAGAGTGTAAGCTCCTCTGGTACAGAGACTGATGTGACTGTGGGGGAGGGGACATTAGAGTGTAAGCTCCTCTGGTACAGAGACTGATGGGACTGTGGGGGGGGAGATTAGAGTGTAAGCTCCTCTGGTACAGAGACTGATGGGACTGTGGGGGAGGGGACATTAGAGCGTGAGCTCCTCTGGTACAGAGACTGATGTGAATGTGGGGAGGGGACATTAGAGAGTAAGCTCCTCTGGTGCAGAGACTGATGGGACTGTGGGGGAGGGGACATTAGAGTGTAAGCTCCTCTGGTGTAATCTGATTGGTCGGTTGTCTTCGGGATTCTGTTTTTCAGGCTCCATAATGAAACCATTCACAGCACAAGAGGCCAGAGAGATTGTCCTCGGGTCTGGACCGCCCCGCAGTTTTTTCCTCAATATGGCCCAGGACTGGCCGGCTTTCTCGCTGGGACGTTGCTCGTCTGTCGGATCTCTTGCAGGACAAGAGCCTGCGCTTCCGAATTGGAAGAAGAGAATGGATACAGGTCAGTCAGCAGAACTCTTGCATCATGGGAAATTAAAAGCTTCAACACGCTAATGATATTTTTAGATAAATCCTTCAGGTTTTCATTGCATACCTTATTTTATATGCAATAACATCATCACTGAAATCTCTGTTCTTCTCTATGCAATGCGGCAATCATGGTCTGTACGAGGGCCAGCAGGGGTGCTGTACATAGCCACCTGAAATCAACACGGCGCCCTGTCTCAGTACTCCTCTCAAGAGCCTTCAGTCCTGATGCAAGCAGTGGGCTGGCTATTGGGAGGAGTTATGCAAAAAAAAAAAAATGCTTTGATGGGGAATGTGACTTCACTTTTGCCTGCCACCTGCCTGGACCTCTGTCTGGATCTGCATACATTATTTCCTGTCGCCTGTCTCGATCTCATTACTCTCTTGCCTGCGACCTCTGCCCGAACCTGGCTGGTTTCCTGCCTGCCGCCTGCCTCGATCCCTGCCTGTACATCATCACCGTCCTGTCTCCCACCTGCCTCAACCCGTGCTGACCTTACTACTCTCTTGCCTGCCGCTTGCCTTGACCCAGTATGGATCTGACCACTTTCTTGCCTGAGTTAATTTCTGACTGGACCTGACTTCTCTCTTGCTTGCTGCCTGCCTTGACCCCTTCCTAGACCTTACTACTCACTTGCCTGTTGCCTGCCTTGACTCCTTTCTGGATCTGATTATTCTCCTTCTTATCTCAATCTCTGCCTGGACCTGACTACTCTACTGCCTGCCTTGACCCCTGTTTGGATCAAACTACTCTCTTGCCTGCCACTTGCCTTGACCCCATATGGATCTGACTACTTTCTTGCCTGCCTTGACCTCTGCCTGGACCTTACTACTCTCTTGCCTGCTGCCTGCCTCAACCCCTGTCTAGATCTTACTATGCTTTTGCTTTCCATCTACTTCAACCCCTGCCTAGACCTAATTACTCTCTTGCCTGCTGCTTGCTTTGACCCCGTATGGATCTGAGTACTTTCTTGCCTGCCTTAATCTCTGACTGAACCTGACTTCTCTCTTTGCGTGCTGCCTGCCTTGACCCCTTTCTAGACCTTACTACTCACTTGCCTGCTGCTTGCCTTGACCCCTGTCTGGATCTGACTATTCTCCTTCCTACCTTGATCTCTGCCTGGACCTGACTACTCTACTGCCTGCCTTGACCCCTGTTTGGATCAAACTACTCCCTTGCCTGCGTTGATCGCTGCCTGGACCTGACTACTTTCTTTCCTGCCACTTCCCTTGAACTCTGCCTGGACCTTACTACTGTGTCTGACAGCTTTCTGCCTTAACCTCTGCCTGGACCCTTACTACTTTCTTGCCTGCTTTGATCTCTGCTTGGACCTTACTACTCTCTTGCCTACTGCCTGCCTCAACCCCTGTCAAGATCTTACTATGCTTTTGCTTTCCATCTGCCTCAACCCCTGCCTAGACCTAACTACTCTCTTGCCTGCCAATTTCCTTGACCCATATGGGTTCTGACTACTCTTGCCTGCCTTGACCTCTGACTGAACCTAACTATTCTCTTGCCTGCCCTTGATCTCTGACTGACCTGGCTACTAGACCTGTTGCCTGCTGCTTGCCTTAACCCCTTCCTAGACTTTACTGGACTCTCTATTGCCTGCTGACCCCTGCCTCAAAACCTCCTGTCTAGATCTTTCTATACTTTTTGCTTTCCGTCTGCTTCGAACCCTGCCTAGACCTAACTACTCTCTTTGCCTGCTGCTTGCCTTGACTTCCCGTATGGATCTGACTATTCTGCCTGCCTACCTAGATCTCTGCTTTCTGTCTGCTTCAACCCCTGACTACCTAACTACTCTGTTGCCTGGCCGCTTGCCTTGACCCCTGTTTGGATCAAACTACTCTCTTCCTTGCGTTGATCGCTGTCTGGACCTGACTACTTTCTTGCCTGCCACTTGCCTTGACCTCTACCTGGACCTTACTACTCTCTTGCCCTTCTGCCTGCTACAACCCCTGTCTAGATCTTACTATTATTTGGCTTTTCTGTCTGCTTCAACCCCCTGCCTAGACCTAACTACTCACTTGCCTGCCGCTTGCCTTGACCCCATATGGATCTGACTACTTCTTGCCTGCCTTGATCTCTGACTGGTCCTGACTTCTCTCTTACCTGCTGCCTTCCTTGACCCCTTCCTAGACTATACTACTCACTCGTGCCTGCCGCTTGCCTTGACCACGTATGGATGTGACTACTTTCTTGCCTGCCTTGATCTCTGACTATACTTCTCTCTTGCCTGCTGCCTGCCTTGACCTTTTGCCTGCCTTGACTGACTGGATACTTCTCTCTTGCCTGCTGCCTGCCTTGACCCCTGTCTGGATCTAAATATTCTCTTGCCTACCTCAATCTCTGCCTGGACCTGACCGCTTGCCTGCCTTGATCCTTGCCTTGGAGTGACTACAATCTCATTTGCCACCACCTGTGCCTGAACCCATTTACTCCCTTGACTACCGCCTTGTGAACAGTCTGCAGCCCTTCTGTCCCAACGACGGCTAGGCAGAGTGAACTTGAGGGCCACAACCTGGTGCCAGTTTCTAGCAAAGATAACTGGGGGCCTGTAGGGTTTCCGCCCCTCCTCCACAATGAGGGGCTCTGCTGATGACCAACTGGTACTTGGACCCCGCTCCTTGTGGCCCACGTTACCTGCCAGGAGGCGCCATATCCGCCAGCTCTATTGTGTTCAGTAGGATCAGACAGTTGCATGTTGCATGTTCAAAACATCAACTGTAAAAATATATTTTTTATTTATTAATTTTTTTCTTCACGTGTTGTATTGTTTAGCCCTGATGGAGGGGGAGGGGGGGGGCTCGCTCCATCCCCTGAAACGCGTCGGCCACACTGGTTAAAAAACAATTTCTGGACTTCTGGGCTCCCGCCTCCTCCTGTCTGAACTCGACTTCTGACGCCAGACATTTGTGCGTGTTACAGAGAGTTCCACCGAACAGGAAGAAGGCGAATCACCGCCGTCATTTTCTTGTACCTTTCTCTAATCCTGTAAGACCGTTATTAGTTTTCCAGCTAAATCCGTGTAAGCGGCCCGTACATCCTCTGTCTGCACGGCGTTCTGAGCGGTTTAATGACGGCGGCGCGCCGACGGGAGGTACGAGGATGAGGCTGCGTTCACTAGAGATTTAGATTGGTACAAATTAGAATGTTTTGCAGCACTTGTGAAGGCTGAACGGCGGCGGATGACGTCTGCGTTCTGTTTTTGCTGTTTTTTTTTTCGTTTGTTCGTATTACCATTTTCGAGTCCCCCTCCCCCCAAAAAAGACCCTGTTTGGGTTGAAATGCGTATTTTTTTTTTTCGGTAAGCATTTGTTTCTTTCTTTTTTTTTTTTTTCATCGTCCTATCATAACAGTTGACAGTTCATGTAGTTCATATTTGTAGAACGTTGCGCAGAGTATTGGGATATTGTTGTTAAAAACGTATATATTACATTATATACAGAAAAGGGGAGGAGCCTGTACAACCGGGCAAAGTTACAGGAGTTCCCCTTTTAACCCTTCAATGCCGGGCACTTTCACCCCCTCCCTTTCCAGGCCAATGTTCAGCTTTCAGCTCTCTCACACTTTGAATGACAATTGTGCGGTCATGCAACACTGCACTCACATGAAATGTATATCATTTTTTATTTCACAGAAATAGAGCTTTCTTTTGGTGATATTTAATCACAACTGGATTTTTTATTTTTTGCTAAATGTGAAAAGACTGACAATTTTGGAAAAAAAATGCGTTTCTTCTATAAAATTTTGCAAACAAATAATCTTTCTTCATGAATTTTTGCCAAAATGTATTCTGCTACATTTCCGTGGTGAAAATAACCCACATCAGTGTAACTACAAACTATGAGATATAGATCTGAAAATCGATCGATTCTGATGTTCAGATGGCCGATCTCATTTCTTTAGGCCCAAAAATGTCAGGACAGTACAAATCACCCCAAATGCCAGGACAGTACAAATCCCCCCAAATGTCAGGACGGTACAAATCCCCCCCAAATGTCAGGACAGTACA